TTCTCATTCACAAAACAAACCTTCTACCATATCCATAGTAAAAAGACGGAACCATTCAGTAGGTCCGCAAAACGCATCATCCCAAAAATAGGGAAGATTAAACAGAAGAAGGAGGAAGAAGAAGAAAAAATACAACAGATTAAAACATATTCTCTTCCATAAGAAAAGACAGAGCCTGCTAGTACAGGCCCGACGCTCGCCGCATCATCAGCAAAAGCAGAGAGCTAGCAACGTCGGAGTATATATTGTCACAAGAATATCAGAGCGCAAATACATATATATATATATATAGATAGATAGATAGAGAGAGAGAGAGAGAATGGACAGCAGTAGCAAAAAAAAACAACTTCACGTACCCCAGCAATGCTATATAGGAGGGTTAGCACGACAACATCCCATGCAAGTGTTCCAAACATTGCTTGCCCTGCCCACCTGCGCAAACAAAAGGCACACGAAACAATCCACGACCAAGTTGTCAGTCACCATATCTTGGCCTCACAAACCATGGCCGTTCGGAAGCGCGCAATCAAGACCATCAGCAGAACACCTAGGTAAGCGCTGAGACAAATGACATCTAAATAGTAAATAATCATTTAATAATGATAATAATCTGCAATTTCTAAGGTTTTTTTTTCTCTTCTTTGTGCAATTTCTAAGGGTTGTTCATACTACCCACATGATTTAATAATCTCTACATACTACATAGTATATACCTTGTAAAGTAAAGAGTGGGCCCCGATTAACACCCCCCACCAGGCCCAGCAGAAACCGATGGCAAATGCGAACGTTGGGGTACTACCGCAGGTCAACTCTTTTTCGTGCTTGTTGTTGCCGGCCGTTTTTTTTGTGTGCACATTTGCGGATGGCGAGTAGTGGAACGAGGCCCTTCGTGTGAGGAAGGGGGGGGGGCAGACTGGCAATTGAGTTCAGATACACTCATAACGATGGTCACAGCTGCTCACGAAAACTATTATTCCTTTGAACTTCGATAAAGGCTATACATGTGACGATCGAGGTCGAATACACTCATCACGATGGTTGCATCTGCTCTCGAAAACTGCTTCCCGTGAATTTCGATAAAGACTCCTTTCTGTTCTCGAACGTATACATCTGACAATCAGGGTCAGATACACTGTTGCATACTGAACGGTGCAGACCAGAACAAGAACCGACCTCTCAATACAAAGTATAAGATAGCACAGCGGAAGACTTAGATACCAATGATCCGAACAATCAATATTGCAATGCAGCCCTGAACAGACATCATCATCATCGTTACTCGGTGTGAATGGGGTCTGGCGCTTCACACAGGAAGACTGCGCCAGCCCCTACCATACCGAGACGAAGAAGGAGTTTAGACTAAGAGGAGGGGGAAGATGGGAATGTCGTCAACACCAAGTCTTCGGCACAGCCCAAATAGTCCCTCGTCGAAATGTCTGAATACCAAATGTCACGTCTGGATTCAATGTCGTCAAGTCTCAAGTCACAACTCTTTCTCTCTCTGTCGTAGTCTGAGAAGCTAGGTGGTGAGAGGGTGAGAAGAGATGGTGGACTTAGAAGAGGAAGAAGAAGAACTCTCTCTCTCTCTCTCTGTCCAGTACTAACCTGTGAAGTTGGCGTCTTGATGCAGGTACCTCGAAGATGGAGCTGGAGCTATGGCGCCACAGGTAAGTCTCGCTGGCCTCCGCCAGCCATCTCTCCCAACTCTACTATCTACCACCTACTAGCGCCCAGCGCTGAAGACTACTGCTATGGCTATGGGCGCCCAGCGCCGAAGACTACAGCTAACGCTGAAGACTACTGCCTAGCGCTGAAGACTACTGCAGCGCTCCTCCTGAGTGGTGCGGCTGAATCCTGAAGACTACTCGTGCCTACTGACAACTACCTACCCGTGAAGTGCATGGGACTATCCTATGTACTACTCGGGTCTGCCTCCTGACTGCAGGCGAGCAGTCCAGGAGGCTGCTTTTGCCAATGCCCCAGGGAGGCAGGGGCTGCAGCTGCAGCTCCTGCTCGAGCTGGCGTGGGGAACAGGCTATTTCTGGCCTGTTCCGAAACCCTGTTTTCGTGCCTGAGTCTTAGGTAGGTTGAACACAATGAGGGCCTGAAAATGGCCCTCCATTTCAGGCTAAAAAGCCTCTGGGCCTGAAAGGCCCAGAAATAGGCTGAAACGGAATAGGGCCTGCAGGCCCTCGTATTTCAGCTTTCAGGCTGAACGACCGGGGCCTGTAAGCCCTAAGTTTTAGGCTTTTAGGCTGAAAGTGCGGGACGGGCCCTGCAGGGCCCGTGTGGCTACGCAGTATGCCACATACACTCATCACAATGATGGTTGCAGCTGCTGACCAAAACTGTGCTTCCCGTGAATTTCGACAAAGGCTGCTTCTGTTCTCGAATATATCCGATGCTCAAGGGAACATACACTCATGATGATGGTCGTAAGAAGAAGAAGAAGAAGAAGAAGAAGAAGAAGAAGCTTACCACTTTGTGCATCTAAGCACATTATCTCTTGCATCCCTTCCTCACCTTCTCCTACTCGTACTCCGCCTCCTCTTTCTTCTCCCCTCTTTTCCTCCTCCTCCTCTCTCTCCTCCTCCTCCTACTCCTCCTCCTCCTCATTATCTCTTGCATCCCTTCCCTCACCTCCTCCTCCTACTTGTACTCCTCCTCCTCTTTCTTCCCCTCTGTTTTCCTCCACCTCCTTCTCCTCCTCCTTCTCCTCCTCCTCCTCCTCCTCCTCCTCCTCCTCCCCCTTCTTCTTCTTCTTCTTCTTCTTCTTCTTCTTCTTCTTCTTCTTCTTCTTCTTGCCAAGTTGTTAACTAAACCGGACTGAGCAGGGGAAAGAAGAGAATGGATGATACTTGCGGCGCATCGACGTGCGCTGCACCGCGCACACGCGCAGCACTGCGCACAGCACACGACGCGTGCGCACTGGGTGCGGCGCACCCCGGAAATAAGGGGTCGAGAAAAAAAAAAAAGTTGGGGAGGGGTGTTTTAGACCCGAGTGGGATGTCAGGTCATAAACCACAAAAAAATACTAACAAAAATTTGAGGCCACGTGGGGCATCCAAAAAAAAAGGGGGGAAGTTCGTTTTTTTGTTTGTTTGTGTGTGTGTGTGTGTGTGTGTGTGTGTGTGTGTGTG